GTTGATTCTGCCAATCCAAGAACATGGTATATCTCTCCATCTCTTTGTATCATCTTTAATTTCTTTCATCAGTGTCTTATAATTTTTTGCATACAGGTCTTGTGTCTCCATAGGTAGATTTATTCCTAGGTATTTTATTCTTTTTGTTGCAGTGGTAAATAGGATTGTTTCCTAAATTTCTCTTTCAGATTTTTCATCATTAGTGTATAGGAATGCCAGAGATTTCTGTGCATTAATTTTGTATCCTGCTACTTTACCAAATTCATTGATTATCTCTAGTAGTTTTCTGGTAGCATCTTTAGGATTCTCTATGTATAGTATCATGTCATCTGCAAACAGTGACAGCTTTACTTCTTCTTTTCTGATTTGTATTCCTTTTATTTCTTTTTCTTCTCTGATTGCTATGGCTAAAACTTCCAAAACTATGTAGAATAATAGTGGTGAGAGTGGGCAACCTTGTCTTGTTACTGATCGTAGTGGAAATGGTTTCAGTTTTTCACCATTGAGAACGATGTTGGCTGTTGGTTTGTCGTATATGGCCTTTATTATGTTGAGGTAGTTTCTCTGTCCGCCTATTTTGTAGAGGGTTTTTATCATAAATGGGTGTTGAATTTTGTCAAAAGCTTTTTCTGCACCTACTGATATTATCATATGGTTTTTATCCTTCAGTTTGTTAATATGGTGTATCACATTGATTGCTTTTCCTATATTGAAGAATCCTTGCATTCCTGGGATAAACCCTACTTGATCATGGTGTATGATCCTTTTCATGTGCTGTTGGATTCTGTTTGCTAGTATTTTGTTGAGGATTTTTGCATCTATGTTTATCAGTGATACTAGCCTGTAGTTATCTTTTTTTGTGACATCTTTGTCTGGTTTTGGTATCAGGGTGATGGTGGCCTCGTAGAATGAGTTTGGGAGTGTTCCTCCCTCTGTTATATTTGGAAGAGTTTCTGAAGGGTAGGTGTTAGCTCTTCTCTTAATGTTTGATTAGATTTACCCGTGAAGCCGTCTGGTCCTGGGCTTTTGTGTGTTGGAAGATTTTTAGTCACAGTTTTAATTTCATTTCTTGTGATTGGTCTGTTTATATTTTCTATTTCTTCCTGGTTCAGCCTTAGAAGGTTGTGCTTTTCTAAGAATTTGTCCATTACTTCCAGGTTGTCCATTTTATTGGCATATAGTTGCTTGTAGTAATGTCTCATGATCCTTTGTATTTCTGCAGTGTCAGTTGTTACTTCTCCATTTTCATTTCTAATTCTATTGAATTGACTCTTCTCCCTTTTTTTCTTGATGATTCTGGCTAATGGTTTATCAATTTTGTTTATCTTCTCAAAGAACCAGCTTTTAGTTTTATTGATCTTTGCTATAGTTTCCTTCATTTCTTCTTCATTTATTTCTGATCTGATCTTTAGGATTTCTTTCCTTCTGCTAAGTTTGGGGTTCTTTTGTTCTTCTTTCTCTAATTGCTTTAGGTGTAATGTTAGGTTGTTTATTTGAGATGTTTCTTGTTTCTTGAGGTAGAATTGTATTGCTATAAACTTCCCTCTTAGAACTGCTTTTGCTGCATCCCATAGGTTTTGGGTTTTGGTGTTTTCATTGTCATTTGTCTCTAGGTATTTTTTGATTTCCTCTTTGATTTCTTCAGTGATCTCTTGGTTATTTAGTAGTGTATTGTTTAGCCTCTGTGTGTTTGTAATTTTTACAGATTTTTTCCTGTAATTGATACCTAGTCTCATACCGTTGTGGTCAGAAAGCATACTTGATACGATTTCAACTTTCTTAAATTTACCAAGGCTTGATTTGTGACCCAAGATATGATCTATCCTGGAGAATGTTCCTTGAGCACTTGAGAAAAATGTGTATTCTGTTGTTTTCAGATGGAATGTCCTATATGTATCAATTAAATCCATCTTGTTTAATGTATCATTTAAAGCTTGTGTTTACTGTTTATTTTCGTTTTGGATGATCTGTCCATTGGTGAAAGTGGGGTGTTAAAGTCCCCTACTGTTATTGTGTACTGCCAATTTCCCCTTGTATGGCTGTTAGCATTTGCCTTATGTATTGAGGTGCTCCTATGTTGGGTGCATAAATATTTACAATTGTTATATCTTCTTCTTGGATTGATCCCTTCATCATTATGTAGTGTCCTCCTTGTCTCTTGTAACACTGTCTCTTGTATTTTAAAGTCTATTTTGTCTGATATGAGTATTGCTACTCCAGCTTTCTTTTGATTTTCATTTGCATGGAATATCTTTTTCCATCCCCTCACTTTCAGTCTGTATGTGTCCCTAGGTCTGAAGTGGGTCTCTTGTAGACAGCATATATATGCGTCTTGTTTTTGTATCCATTCAGCAAGCCTGTGTCTTTTGGTTGGAGCATTTAATCCATTCACGTTTAAGGTAATTATTTGTATGTATGTTTCTATGACCATTTTCTTAATCGTTTTGCGTTTGTTTTTATAGGTCCTTTTCTTCTCTTGTGTTTCCCACTTAGAGAAATTCCTTTAGCATTTGTTGTAGAGCTGGTTTGGTGGTGCTGAATTCTCTTAGCTTTTGATTGTCTGTAAAGGTTTTAATTTCTCCATCAAATCTGAATGAGATCCTTTCCAGGTAGAGTAATCTTGGTTGTAGGTTCTTCCCTTCCATCACTTTAAGTATCTCATGACACTCCCTTCTGGCTTGTAGAGTTTCTGCTGAGAAATCAGCTGTTAACCTTATGGGAGTTCCCTTGTATGTTATTTGTCGTTTTTCTGTTGCTGCTTTCAATAATTTTTCTTTGTCTTTAATTTTTGCCAGTTTGATTACTATGTGTCTTGGCGTGTTTCTCCTTGGGTTTATCCTGTATGGGACTCTCTGTGCTTCCTGGACTTGGGTGGCTATTTCCTTTCCAATGTTAAGGAAGTTTTCACCAATAATATCTTCAAATATTTTCTCTGGTCCTTTCTCTCTCTCTTCTCCTTTGGGACACCTATAATGCGAATGTTGTTGCATTTAATGTTGTCCCAGAGGTCCTTTAGGCTGTCTTCATTTCTTTTCATTCTTTTTTGTTTATTCTCTTGTGCAGCAGTGAATTCCACCCTTCTGTCTTCCAGGTCACTTATTCGTTCTTCTGCCTCCGTTATTCTGTTGTTGATTCCTACCAGAGAACTTTTAATTTCATTTATTGTCTTGTCTATCATTGTTTGTTTGCTCTTTAGTTCTTCTAGGTCCTTTTTAAACATTTCTTGTAGTTTCTCCATTCTAGTTCCAAGATTTTGTACCATCCTTGCTATCATTACTCTGAATTCTTTTTCAGGTAGACTGCCTATTTCCTCTTCATTTGTTAGGTCTGGTAGGTTTTTATCTTGCTCCTTCATCTGCTGTGTATTTTTCTGTTTTCTCATTTTTCTTAACTTTCTGTGCCTGGGGTCTCCTTTTTGAAACCTGCAGGTTCGTAGTTCCCGTTGTTTTTGGTTTCTGCCCCCAGTGGCTAAGGCTGGTTCAGTGGGTTGTGTAGGCTTCCTGTTGGAGGGGAGTAATGCCTGTGTTCTGGTGGATGCGGCTGGATCTTGTCTTTCTGGTGGGCAGGTCCACGTCTGGTGGTATATTTTGGGGTGTCTGTGGCCTTATTATGATTTTAGGCAGCCTCTCTGCTAATGGGTGGGGTTGTGTTCTTGTCTTGCTAGTTGTTTGGCATAGGGTGTCCAGCACTGTAGCTTGCTGGTCATTGAGTGGAGCTGGGTCTTAGCGTTGAGATGGAGATCTCTGGGAAAACTTTTGCCGTTTGATGTTACGTGGGGCTGGGAGGTCTCTGGTTGACCAGTGTCCTCATTTTGGCTCTCCCACCTCAGAAACTCAGGCCTGACACCCGGCTGAAGCACCAAGACCGTGTCAGCCACACGGCCAGACAAAGTTCAACCAAAGTTGTGATACTTATTTCCCTTGTAGGAGTCCACATGATATTAAGAGGCACCATGGGAGGAGTATATTAATAGCTACCATGTCTTGGGCCTTACGATTACCCTTTTTCCCTTAACAACATCACCTCCCGGCAGGTCCTGAGGAGACCAGGCTCCTGTGAGAGAGAACTGGACCCCACAGTTTCCCAAAGCTGAAGCCCCAGTGGGTCCTGAGGAGACCCAACTTCCGTTAGTGTGGACTCGACCCCCGGTTGTCCTGAAGCCCGGGCCGTCAGCATGGACTCAGCCCTGCGTGTTCCAGTAGCCAAAGACCCAGCGGGTCCTGAGGAGATGGGCCTCCTGTCAGCTGTCCACAAAGCCCCTATTCTTAAATTAAGCAATTTAAGGTTCTGAGCAATGAACCTGGCAGGAGAGACATAAAGATGGTAAAGATGGGATCCCTTCCCTCAAGCAGCTCACTGATTATTAAGAAAAATAGGTATCCGTACAAAAATCTGAAAGTGGGCTGTCAGGGGCTCCTGTTCCTCTAGGGTCCATTTATCTGGGAGTGTTGGTTGTCTATGGTTGGCATGATTTTTGACAGTTCCGTGCCTGTGTCTGGTTGCTAATATACTTATTAGCCCTTCTGGAAGATATGATGCATTTACTGAGATGCTACCACATTGCAGACACTGTGGTAGGCATTGCGATACAGTGGTGAGCCGAAGACGCAGTGCCTGCCCTGAAGGAATTTACCATCAAGTTACTAGATTCTAGTGTTTGAATAAGATATTTTAGGAAGCATAACAAATGTAGGCAGTCTTTCTCCCTAGAGGGAGAGGGATTTACACTTATGATTAATCTCAGTGAGTGACGGGAAACAAGGAAACAAGTGGATTTCTATGCAAAGGAAATAGCTCCTATGCTAATATTAACATGATGAAGAGCGCTCACTTTGGCATCACTGCAGTGATGCAGCCCTGCCAGCTCGTGGGCTGGGTAGGAGAGAGCAGCAAGGAGGTATGAATGTAGGGACGCACTGTGAAGGCCTCAGATGCCAGGCTAATCAGTGTGGACCACATGCTGTGGCCAGTTGCTCTATAACAGCTCAGGGGGTTCCACCATGGAGTTAGTTGGGAAAATGTGCCTACACTTCCCTCATCTCACAAGCAAACAGACAACAGAAGAGATCAGGGGTAAGAGGTGAAAATGCTAAGGACATAGAGTACACAGGACTGCATGCTGTTTAGTTGCTATAAAGGAGGAAGACAGAAGACTGAAAGTTGACATCTAGGTTTCTGGCCAGTTTAAATGGCAGTGCTTTCAATACTTAGGGGAGCCCAGGAGAAGGAGGAAGAAGAGGCTTTAAGGAGATGGTAATGCGTCCAGTTTGAACATGTTGTTTTGTCATACTCATGGGATATTCAGAGAGAGATGGCCGGGAGGTTTGGACATAAAGTTTTGCTCCAAATAAGAGCAGAGTGGATAATAGAAATTTGGGAAGCATTGTTCTAGACGTGTTAATCAAAGCCTTGAAATTAGATGTGAATAGTAAAGCCAAATAATGAGACTCGTTGGAGGCTCAGGATATAGTCCTTAGAATTTCTTTGCTGGTCCAGCACTCTCCCTGCCAGGCAGATCCAATCTACTCATTGTACTGTGACCGTGAAATTGTCTTTAATTTTCCCAGGCAAAACTCCCCTTCTCATCTTGTGCCCTCTCTACTAGCTCTTAGCACAACTTGCCTTGGATTCTAATTAGCTGTGGATAAGTCCGCCTTTGCCCCCTAGCCTGTAAGCTCCTGCAGAGCAAGAACTATTCTTATTCTGCTCTATGTGTGTCTCACCTAGGAGGTCATCAGTAGATGCTTGGGAAATTAACTTGAACTGATCGGCCTCAAAGTCCGTGCAACCCTTCTAGATGGCAGACATTGTATATACACTATGCCACACACATGATCATCACAACCACCTGTGAGCTGTCTGTTATTATCCTCATCATGCACATAAGAAAACCGAGGTTCAGAAATTGAAACAGGTCACACAGCCAATGAGGGCTGAAGGCCACATTTGAACCCGGATGGTCAAACTCCAAAGCCCATGCTCCTTTCCCTAGGCCCTATGAATTCAACAACACAGTATCTTCTCGGTTGCTTCTAAAGTGAGTAGAAAGTTTAGTATCATCTAAATATTATCAAACAAGACCAACCTAATTGAGAGGGGAAGACTAAGAATTGCCACAATTTTGAGGAAGTTTTTTTCTTTTCGTCTATACCAAAAGGGATAAATAAGCCCATTTTGCAGAGAGTTAAACAAAGACCCAACAGGGGACCACTGAGCTGTCGCTACAAGCACAGAGGTTGGAAAATGTGGTTTCTTTTTCCAGCTTCTCATTTGGAAAACAACAGAATTCCCAAATTCCATGCTATTCCTGTTTCCTCACCTCATGGACTTATGTATCTTTGTGTGTGTTTATGTTACTAGGTTTGCTGAAAAGCCCAGTGAACAAGACGGCCCTGATGCTGATCGCTGTGAGCTCCTGCATCCTGGCCATGGTGTGTGGCAGTCAGATGTCCTGTCCACTCACTGTGAAGGTGACTCTGCATGTGCCCGAGCACTTCATTGCAGACGGTAAGAGCTGAGCGTCGGAGATGCCCCACATCTCCTCGGCACCTTGCACCCCTGTGTGCTCCAATGTTCCCCATGCGTGGCCCAACCTCAGAATTATATTACTAAAAAAGAGAGAGAGCATCCAAAGACCTTAAGAGGTCCTTATCTCTGAAAATCCTGGATTATTTGAATGGAACTAAAGACTGCTTTTATTCCATGGGCAAGGGTAAGGTTTGTTAATAAAGAAAGAATTCCAATGTGCGTGCAGAAAGATTGAGCTACTTCAGAGAACCTACTGTTTTCTTATCATGCGTGTGCATCCTATGCCTAACTAAAAATACCTCCCCGCCCCCCAAAATAGTCTTTCCTATTTAAAAAATACGACAAAGAAGACTGTATGAGCTTTTTTGGAACTTCCTAAGTGTCCTGGATTATACTCATATCTCTTTCGCTGTAAATGTCCTTTACAAGCATGTTATATCCTACCATTTACTCCTCACCCAATTAGTTTGAATTAATGAGACACTGTAGTTGCTATACTCATTCGCAAAGCATGGTCCAAGAAGCTGATTAAGGTGCTTGATATCTATTGCTAAAGTGCCCTCCAGAAAATTGTTCCAGTTTATATACTCCAGCAGAACGTGATGTGTTTCCCCAAATGCTTGGCATTATTATTAATTATTTATTTTTACAATTTACATATATTATAACTTTTCCTTTACATACATTACAAATGACAGAAATGTATCCATTTTGGGGAAGAATTTTTTTTTTTTAATTGACGTGTAGTTGATTTACGATGCTGTGTTAATTTCTGCTGTGCAGCAAAGTGATTCGGTTATACATATATATACATTTTTGTATTATTTTCCATTACGGTTTATCTTAGGATATTGAATATAGTTTCCTGTGATATATGGTAGGACCTGGTTGTTTATCCATTCTATGTATAATGGCTTACAACTGCTAACCCCAACCTCCCATTCCATCCCTCCCCTCCTCCCCCCTCCCCCTTGGCAACCACCAGTCTGTTCTCTATGTCCATGAGTCTGTTTATGTTTTGTAGATAGGTTCATTTGTGCCATATTTCAGATTCCACATATAAGTGATAACATATGATGTTTGTCTTTCTCTTTCTGACTTCATTTAGTGTGATCATCTCTAGTTTCATCCATGTTGCTACAAATGGCATTATTTCCTTCTTTTTTATGGCTGGGTAGTATTCCGTTGTATATATGTACCACATCTTCTTTTTTATTATTAATTTTTATTGGAGTACAGTTGATTTACAAAGCTGTGTTAGTTTCAGGTGTACAACAAAGTGAATACATATATACATTATATATATATATATACGCACATGCTCATTCCTTTTTCAGATTCTTTTCACATATAGGTTATTACAGAATATTGAGTAGAATTCCCTGTGTTATACAGTAAGTCCTTATTAGTATTATTATTTTTAAATGTATTGAAAGTTATCGTAAATATAATAAAGAAGAAATATTAAGTATGCAGCTTAATGAATTTTTACATGAGTTCACCCAGATCAAACATAAAACATTTCCAACACCTTCAGCTTCCTTACGCCCCCTCCCAGTGAATCCCATCCTAGGGATAACCACCCTTCTAGCACCATATTAGTACCATTATTATTTTTTAAAATCTTTTTCCCATTGGATATGTATCAGGTGTTTTTGAGATCCTTTATGTATGTCAGCCATATTTTAATGCAACTTGATTTTATCTCTAATTTTTTAAGATACAATGTTCACAACTTAGCACCAATCCCTTCAGTATGTTCTGTGCAGAGTGGAACTTTCACCTCCTTTCTCTCCTAGACTTATACTAAAGCATCCTGTGTTTACTCCTACTTCACCATAGTGAACTAGCCCCTACTTTAAATTTTTTTTCAATTATATTTTTATTGAGGTATAGTTGATGTGCCATATTATATAAGTTTCAGGTATACAACGTATTTTGCACAATTTTTAAAGACTATATTCCATTTATAGTTATTGTGAAATACTGGCTGTATTTCCTGTGTCGTACTATATATCCTTGTAGCTCATTTATTTTATATGTAGTAGTTTGTACCTCTTAATCCCCTACCCCAGTCTTGCCCCTCCCACCTTCCCTTTCCCCTCTGGTAAGCACAAGTTTGTTCTCTATATCTGTGAGTCTATTTCTCTTCTGTTATAATCACTAGCTAACTTTATATTTTAATTTTTATTTCCATTTTTCAATTGAACTGCAAGTAAGTTTAGTATTTCTCATCTTATATGCACTCAGTTGATTTTTTGACCAAAGCAGAAGACTTTTGGTTCATCCCTATCAAATCGTATGTGCACATAAGACAGGAAAATATGGGAATATGAAATGGCAGAAGCATAGCAGAAGTAGAAGGGACAAAATTTACTGCAGCACCTAGGCACGTAGGCTCATGGAGCTTGGGACTGGAAAAATTGCCAGGACCTGGGTGTGGCTGGAACATGGGATGGGAGAGTTAGAGTGATGAAAACCAATAGGGCAAAGTTTGACCATTGTTGGAGGCATGTGAACTTACTTTCTATCACCACCAGTCACTATTCATTAATTGTAGAATGTTAGGTCTTAGAGACATCCACATTTTGAACATTTATTTTCACGCATGTAGAAATGGAGCTCCTAAGAGACTAAGTAACTTGGTCAGGGTCATGATTAATGGCTGAGATCAGAGACTATAGAATAATACAAACAAAATTCAAATACTTGCCCTATTACCTGCCACTTCCGTAGCCAAGTGAATTATTTACCTCTCTGAGTCTCAATCTCGGCGTCTATAAAATGGGAATGATAATGATACCTATCTCATAGGCTTATTGTGAAGCCTACAATTCCGTATTTATCAGATTTTTAGATAGCAAGTAGGTGGGAAATAGCAAAATCAAAGGATTACCCAAGAAAACTGTAAAACTACTGTGGTGGCTTCAAAGGATAGACAAAAATGTGGTAAATTAAAAGGTGCCCTTTCTTATTCTGATCTCTGTCATAAACTTAAAGCTTTATAACTACATGTAGACTTGTCTGCTTCTGCCTCTAGACTGGAATGTCTGTGAGGCAAGAATATCCCTGGTGACAAACACGCCGCATGGCCTGTGATGGATGCTCAATAAGTATGTGTTGAATGAATGAACAGGGCCTAAATTAAAGCAGAATTATGAAAAGTTCTGTGGGATTCTTCTACCAGATGTGTAAGCAGAAAGGGGAGACCGAGTGAAGGAAAACTAAGGCAGAGTATGCACAGAAGTCAAAAAAATTGGAAATAACCATGGAATATAGAAGATTAGAGACGCAACTTAGGGGAATCTTCAGGAATCCAGAAAGCAACCAACACCTGAAGTCAGGTGAACAGCTGTCTAATAGTTCTAGGCAAGCAGACCTTCCACAGCACAATCCCAGTGCCTCTTGTGGGTGGATAATCTCTGTGCATTGCTCATTCCATTCTCCCAACAGAAAATGGAGACCCCTTTTCTAGGAGTAGAACCCAAGTATTAATATTCTCAATAAGAACTTGAGGTGATCCCTTAACAGAAGTTTGAGAGCTGCATCAGTATCTCTTTACGTGTTACTTTCCTTTCATCTAACAGATTAACAACTCCTTGCGATCTCTTGGAGCCCTGATAGGGGCTTTGGTTTCTTCCATCTTACACTTGATCAATGCTGTATTAATGGAGCTGCCTTATGGCAATTCCAGTGATTGCCTATAGCACTTAATACCATGTGAATGGTCCAATATGAGTTTTATAACAAGGCAGCTCTCATCGCATGGATTTGGGCTTCACCCAAATTGCCCTACAGGTAGCATTATTGATGAATGGTTATTGGTTAACATTAAAAGCTCATATGAGTGGAGATGTTAGTTTCTTCATCCCTCGAGGCTCCCATTGTATAATATGTCAGGACATATTCACCAAATATCCTGGCCCTATAGTAAGCCAGTAGAAGAGACAACATTTAAAGGAATAAGCTGTCTAGATGAAATGGTTCCACTCCAGTGTAGATAGATAACACTATACCTAGAGTTCTCTGTTCCATTTTGTTCTGGTAGTTGTGCTTTAAGAAGCACAGAAGGTCAGTGATATATTGGAAGGCATCCAAAATAAAGGAATTGCAGCCAAGGGATTGGAAAAACATTGCCAATACCTAAAAACCCCATAAGGAAAGGGTGGAGGAAGATCATTCTATAAGAAGAGTTGAAGGAACTAGACAAAAAGGGAGCTTAGAATTATTGAGCATATCTGTTATGAATATGGCAGTGTTCAAAACACTTTACATGGAGTTACTAATATAATGCTCATATCAGAACTCTGAGGCAGGATTTAGCATCCTCTTTTTGCATAAATGGAAGGTAGTTTTTGGAGATGTTAAGTGATTTGGCCAGATTAACACACAGAAGTGAAGCAAGGTATGAAAACCCAAGACTACCTGAACCTCTCATCCAAGTTTTTTCCATGTCCCATGCTTCCACAAAATTGACGATGATAATTATCATTTGTCTTGAAAAGGGAGCAGGCTTGTTCTGGAAGTCCCCAGGAAGCAAAATTAGAGCCATATGGGTGAGGAGGGTGGTCAGAGATGGGAGAAGATTGAGTCTTAATCTGAAAATGTCTTCCCTTTCTAAGCTTTAGTCTCATGTATAAAGTGGGGGGTTATAGCAGTACGTATCTCCTAGAGCTGTTGTGAAGAATAAATGAAATAATGCTCATAAGGCTTTCAGCTCAGTACCTGAGACCTAGTAATGGCTCAATAAATCATATACATGTTAGTAGTTGTGATAATACTTTTTCAATATTGGAAGGGGGTCCTTGCAAGGTAATGAGTTCCCCATCATAGGGAATTTCCTGAAAATAGATGACCACATTTATTTCTATGAAGACATAGAAGAAAAGTGAAGGAATGTGTTTGGCTAGGGTACAAAATATTTTGCATCAGAGCCATTTTATCAGACTATACATTTTTAAAACACTTAAATTTTTAGG